ATGTGGGCTGAGAGACATTGCCACAGCAAAATGCAATGAGATATTACTATGTGTCACAGCCTCTGCTGAAAATTAAAAAAGCTAAAATTAGCCACAGTATAGCCTTCTGAATCTTCTAGATTCTCATCGGTTTGTCCTTCAACCACAGAAAGCTTCGTAACCAAAGAAAGGCTTTCCATTTCCTACAGTCAGAGGAAAAGATATTTTATTTCTCACTTGCACCTTATCTGAACTCTGCAGGAATGACTATTGATGTGACTGTGACTACATGATGGAAGCTAAGGTTCAACGACCACTGTCTCCTTTCTGCACAGAATTTGGCATTGCTATCAGGATGAAGAAACAGGCTGCACTTTTCTAATTCAGATATAATGAGAATCAGTCATGCTTCTGTTGTGAACCTACCTGTAATATTTACTGAAACAATGTCCATGCCAAAGAATTAAAAGCCAACAAAGGTCTATCTATCAGCACCTTATTACTGTTCAATGGGTTTGGGTTGGGGTTTCTTGGTTGGTTTTGGTCTGTTTTTTGGTGGGGATTTTTTTGGGGGGGTGCAAGGAGGGATGGAGTGTTGCTTGGGTTTGGTTCAGTTTTTTGTTTGGTATTTTTTGTGCGGGGAGGACAGGGGTTGCTTGGTCTTGGTTTGGCTTTTTCACTGCTTCTTTCTAGGTTCTTAATATTAAACACATTGTTTTAGCAACTGCTAAATCAGGCAATCTCACAAGTCTGCAGGTTTGATGAATGAATCTTTGCATAGGCAGAGACTACTAACAGGGTCAGTTTTTAATAGTCTTTCATTACTGTGTAAAAAAAAAACATTCCATGAAGGCTGACAGCATTGGTGGGAGTGGTTCACGTGACTTCACATCAGATTGAGGTTCAGGATGACTTCTTATTAGGCCCATTATCAATGTTTCATCAGAAAACATCTCTAGATAAAACAGATCTCTTGCACTCCTCCTGCTCTCAAATTTCTTCACATGCTTTATACTGATACTCTTCTCCCCTTTTATTTTCACTTTTCCAATTTGTTATATGCCTCCATTGTCAGAAGAAGATATTTTTGCTTTAGTCTTCCAACACTAAATGCCACGCTAAAGCTCATACCAATGTTCAACGTATGCTAGGAACATCATTTCCCCTGCCTTTGCAGACTGGAGCTGCAGAAAAAATGTTCCTTCTCTGTGAACAAGACAATACTGGCTTTACCTGAACTGCTGAAATCTAGACATTAATATGTCAGACATGAATACTGTGACCACAACTGAGTGCTTCTTGCAAGCAGAGATAGCCCTTTGAAACTGTGGTAAACAGATTGTAATCCTTTGGTACTTGCTATATTAACATTAACTACATATACATTTTAGTCACAATTAGTCATGTACCTTTTCCTATTCTTCCTGAAATACCTGTCTTCTCACAGTAAGTTATGGTTTTAATAAATACAGAAGATTTTCCATTTCTGTGTGGAGATATTTAGCTGATAACATCTCATTGCTGATTCAGTATTTCTCTGTGCTATGTGAATATATTCACAACAGTTTTTCCCCTTGCTTTTCAGGCTTTGTAAACACATGTCTACCTGCCTCAGACAATTTAAACAAGAGAAACCTAAATAACATTTCAGACCTTTAAGATCTGTGACAGCTATGCTACCATGCACTTCTCAATGGGCATTTTTATCTAATTAAGGAACTATGCATAGCCTATGTATTAGTGCATTTTATACACCTTAAGGAACACTAACCAAAATAATCTATTTTAAACCCACAACCTCAAATATAGGCTCCATTAAGGCCAGTGTTTCTATATATAACTACTGAAGCTTCTTCCTCACTATCAGCCAATGTTGTATGCTTGATTAACTTGCACCCAAAATGTTACACCTCTTCTTTGCCACTGAGGAAACTCGAAGAACTTGATTCTTTTTGATTAACAGCTTCATTTGTCAAAGGTGGTGGGAATATATCTCAATTTTTTTGAATAAGTTAATTTTAGAGCTGCTATTTTGAAAATGTAGTCCCTAATTTTATTAAAATCATCGTATCTTTTAGGATTCTGTCTCATAACAGCTTGACAGAATTCTGTTACTCATCTAAGACAACTGCTATTTAGGGGAGATGGGAGGGGGGAACCCTTCTGTAATGAAACCTAAAAAAACCCTCTTCTGCATATACAAGATAGAATTCATTTAGACACATGAAGAAAGGTATATTTCCCTCCCTAAACAGTAATGATTCATATGGAAAAAATCCTCCACATCTACTAACATATTTTTCCCAAAAATAATTATGGAAGTGATTCAGTCTTGAATTACTTCAGTCCCAGAATACATTGAAATCAACTGACTTCAAAACTGGAATTATATTGCACTGAATCAGTTTTTACATATATTTAAACCAAACTATTTTCAGAGATGTGTCCTTTAAATTTTAAACATCCTCTACTATGCATGTTTCTGCACCTGAATATCAAACTACTCATGTGTGCTCTAACTAACCCTTAGAGATTCCCTTACCCACTTTCTGTTTGTACAAGACAGACATGATAAAGTATTGAAAAATCATATAAAACAGTGAAAAGCAACAGAGCCCTGTTTTCTCATCTTCCCTCACAATAGCCTGCAAATTCTCCTTGGCACTGGGCTTCAAGAAGGACAATAAACCCCTTTCCCTGAGAATCCCTTCCTTGGACAACTAATGTGAAGTGCTCCAATTACATGTTCTCTTCACTGTCTTTCCATCTCTTGAGTACAGATGGATTTCCAAACTAAAAGAGTCCTTATACTATGCATTTTACAAACTGTGAAAGTCTTTATGTTGTCTATATCTAGAGTGATATAGGTAACTCTCTCTATCTCACTATCTAAAGTGAGTAATGCTCACTGAGAAGCAATTGGACTGAAGTTATACATCCTTAAAGGAGGATGGGCAGAATACATAGCATGTGAAACTACCAGACTCTAGCTCTACTACTGATTTTTCATGGATACCTCTCTGTGCATCTTGAAAACTAAAGTGTTTTACATACCAGAAAGGAAAAGAGGGGGAAGAGCTCTATCACTGCCTTTTCCAAAATACACTTTCAAAAGCACATGAAAATCACCCCCAGAAAACTGAGTATTTAGCAAATTCAAATGCATGACTGAAGTGACGGAGTTAGGCATCCAGTATCATGAAATGTCACACACAGATCACTCAACTGAAGTGTTTTTTTTGGAAAAGGATGCAATTAAAATACACATATGCTAGCACAGAAAGTAAGCACAGGGGAGATGAACATAAGCAATAGTTAAAAACTTTTCAGGTGTTACAAGGGACATCAGTAAAGCAGTGATCTTGAATTTCTGCTTAACTTTTTTTTTTCCTGAGTATGCTTGCCAAGTGTAGCATACATAGTTTTAGAAGACAAAATTCCATGAATAAGAAAATGTTAAACCCCTAGTACTATAAATGTTGCTACCTATAGAGCACTCACTCAAGCCATGCTTGATTTCACAGATAAAGTCACTGATATGTTACAACTCAGTATCAAAATTGAAATTAAAATTGCATTTTATTCATCTATACATACATGGGAACATATATAGGAGCTGTGTATTTGCCTGTGTACGCGTGACTCCAGATCCAGGTTTCAACCTTAACCATTCTAAAGTGTAAACACCTACCTCGGGTGTTTCTACTGCGTAAAGATTTTAGCCTTCAGTCGTATTAAACTAGGATCAAGCGTTACTGCAGATGTCCTTAGATTTCTGACTGGATTCCTCACAGTGCAGTACTATTAAAACTTTGGCTATTGTTCCCCGTGATACCACAGATATCTGCAGAAACTTATTTGACTTCTAGCTGTCACACACTCAATTGAAATAGGCTTAAAATGTAAGTTTAAAATGTGTAATCATCCATAATAGCCATCAACAGTGACAGTCATTCATCTGTCATTACGTTTTCAGCATTTTTCAGTAAAAGCCATTGCCTGGTTCCAAGAAAACACCCAAGACTTACACAGAATCAACTAGATTGGAAAAGGCCTTGAAGATCATCAAGTCCAACTATAGCAGACTTCACACAATTCTGAATTTATGCTGATTTCTTATTTATCCAGATTCAGGGTTGGGGGGTGTGGGGTTTGTGTGCATTGAACTTCTAATCAACATGTGCGTGACTGTGTCAGAAGAGCCTTTTAGCCAAAAAAAGGAACGTACTTACTGAGAAACTAAGAGATTTATAAGAAGAGACAAAAGTTACAAAGATAAATTTAACTCAGAGATAAAATCTTGCTGGAGCAGGGATTTTTTCACCCTAACATTCATGCATTATTCCTTACAATGTTTCATGGAAATACTTCCAAGTATTATTTTCCTGTTATTTTGTGGGAGAGAGGGAAGTGGGGGGGTGGTTCTGTTATTTTTCATTAGATTTTTCCCCTATATTTTATTTTTCATTGCTTTCTAGCAGATGCAGTGCAGCAGAATCCATATTAAATGTATCAACTCTTCACCGAGTCTGTAGACTAAACAAGCAGATCAAAACTATGCAAATAACAAAAGCACTACTTGATGATGATTTTTTGCCAATGGGTGTCTTAAATTGACATTGTTATTGGATTAAGTGCTAAAGAAGACAGGACAAAATTGTTTTTTTTCCATATAAGAGCAAAGAGCATCATTGAGACTTAGCAGCTTCTGTCTGAGTCTCTAAACCATGCCGAAGAAGCACAGCATGGCAATCCTGTGATAATGGCAGTGATAACAGAGATCTACTTCCTAACTTCCTTCTCAGGCACTTGTTATTGTCACTTACTGTTAAGCAGTAGTCATCAGGAACATACATCCTGAATTGAGATCTGCCAAAGAACCAGTCAAAAATTTGGTGTGTTCTGTCATTTCACAACATGTGAAGCATTTGTGCTTGTGATGGTATCTGGATGATGGTATCTGGAAGTAGTTAACAGTTAAAACCAACACCCAGCGTCACTTCCCCCTCACCCCCACCTCAACTGCACAATAATATAGATGCTAAAATAGTTTAGAGGTTCTGTCTCTCTTGCTTCATATATATAAATTTCACTTAAGTGCTACATCATTAGGACCATTTCTATGGTCCTCAAATATCTGTGAACATTTTCTGGATGGTTCAAGGTCTCCAACAACTTACTGGTAACAAAGAGCACCAGCTGGGAAACTACAGTTCCTGCTGATGGGGCAGCTATGTTGAGAAATAAGCTGCCTGGTTTTGCCCACATTAAGACAACAGGAGAAATTGAAGAGTCTGGGGAACTGGGGACCTTAAGAATCTGTAAGTGTGCCAAATTGCACTCTGCTGCATTACTGCTACTGCCATGCTGTAAGCAGCTTGGTCCATAGGACACTAGTAATGCAAGACACATCCAAAACACACTCTGGAGTCTGCAAAATCCACAAAAATAACCAAAAGAAATCTGGAGGCAATATTTTTATTTAATGTGGTTCAGGTTAATGTACCACACTAAGAAGATACTACATAGAGCAGAGAGCATCTGATTTATTCATAGGAAGCTGTTAGGACCTCTGCTTTAAATTTCAGAAGTTCAGAAAGAGGTTACTGCTGAATGCAGGATATGTGATGCATAATGAAAATGTACAAGCAAACACCACAGGGCATGGAAAACCCACAACATGATTTTTTTAAAGTAGTAGATGCAGTTTTTGTTTGATATGCACGACAGTGTGAAATGTCAGATAAAACGGCACCCCAAGGAACATGGCATTGATCAAATCTAAGACTTGAAAAGTAATGATTTCTGTTGCTGAGCAGACCTGCCTGATTTACAAACAAACTGCATTTTAAAAGCCCACTTTAACTATTCAGTGGAATTTGAAAATAAAAGCAGCAGCAGCTGCTAAGCCAAATCAACATGAGTTAACAGTGTTCAACAACAGATTTGCTTTCAGTTTTAGGAAGGACTGTGTGTAGTGCCAGTGACTGATAAAGAGTGCAAAGAACTCTGGGTTGTTTAAGGATACACACAGTTTATAAAAACGCATGGGGCTGCTGGAGCAGGTACTCTTGGAACACATTTCTGGGCACATGAAGGAGAGAGTACTGAAAACAGCACAGATTTACCAAGAGTAAGTTACACCTGACCAAGCTGCTCACCTTCTAGCTGAAAATGAGTTTGGGAACAAGGGGAAAGCAACAGAGACAATTCACATCAGCTTTCAAAACTTTTGACACCCTCTCCCAAAAGAGCCTTGTATCCAAATGTGGACATTACAGTCTATATACATAGACAACTACATGGATGGGAAATGGTAGGATGGGCAGGCATTGGTGTGTCATACTCTACCTGGAAGTAGCAAGCGAAGCAATATTGAAACCTATCCTGGGATTTGCCCTCCTTCACATCTTCATCTAGAAGGGACCCAGAGAAAGGGAACCATGGAGGCCACTCTCATCAGGCTTGCATGGGGCACCAAATCGGTCATGGTGGGGAGCAGTTAATACACTCAAAGGCAGAACTGCTGTTTGGAGCATCAGGAATCTTGGGAAACTCAGCAAGGACCAATGCCAAGTCCTGCACCTTGGAAGGAGGATCCCCTTGCAAGGCCACAGCCTGCAGCTCTGTGGAAAAAGAACATTTGGTCTTGGTAGGCACCAAATTGGATGCTGGTCAGCAAGGAGCCCTGGCAGCAGTGAAGGCCAAGAACAACCTGGGCTGCATTACCAGCAGCACATCTGGTATGTCCAGGGCAGTGATTCTCAGTGCTTGCTACACCACATTTAGAACACAGCATTCGATTCTGGAGCCTCCAATACAACTCAGGCACCCGTAAATGGGAAGAAGTTCAGTGGAGGGCAGCTGTGGTGGCTGGTGCCTGGAGCACTGGCTCTGCAAGGAGAGCTGAGGGAGCAGGGCTTGTTCAGCTTAGAGAAGAGTTGGTTTTGGTGGGAAGACCCAACTGGAGCATGATAGTACCTATGACAAAGTTACAGAAGACACAGAAACAGGTTCTTTGCAGTGGTGCAAGGTAGGAGGATGAGAGGCAATTGGCATAAACAGCAAGTGCATTTAAGGAAAAGCTTTTGCATCCTGAGGACAAATTAAACTGTATAATTCAATGAATCAGCTATGTTAAGTAATAAAGTCCAAAGTCAGAGAGTAAATAAAATAGGCAAAACCTCTCTATCCACTGGAAAGAGTAGCTCCTCAGATACTCCAAAACTCTGAGGTCAAAGTTTAGTGGTGGACTTAGCAGTCCTGGGGGAATAGTTGGACTTTGTGATCTTGAAGATCTTTGCCAACCTAATTGATACTACTCCTACATCCTTGCTGATATCCCAAGGAAGGGGTTAGATTTAAATATGGCTACCCAGAAGTTAGGCTTCTACTCTAAGCTAGTTATCTTAGCCAGCAAGGCATTTCCAGGGCTGGTTCCTGTTGTTCTTATTTGATTTAAAGGTATCACCTTCAGGAACCACAGAACTGCTGCCATTAAACCAGCCACCAGGAGCTACTAGAAATAGGCAGGTGTCATGCTGCTGTCTTGTAGGTAACACCGGCACTGCAGCAACACTTCTGTCTGTGTTAACAGAGATACTTCCAGCTCACATACGATCACCTGTACTTTGGGGATTTAGCTGGCTTTTGTTTTTGGGAAAACATTAAGTTTCCCAGTTATCACTACAGTGTAACAGCTGGAAAATATTGCCTTAGCAATGTTTATCTCTGTACCGGAAGACATGTATAATTGTAATTGTACAATGAAGCATCTGACTGCTATGTGCATACATATATATTACCATTAAAATGCTATTACTTCAATGATTGCAGTGTGACAACAGCCATAAGGATTAGCAGGAGAAACCTTACAATCATTTTTTGGAGTATATTTAAAATATTTTATTGTTAATAAGGTTGGAGGAGAGAACCTCCTAATAAATTAGCCAAAATGTTTATGAGCCTTTGCAAGCTATATATGCATTAGTCTCTGGGTTGTTAACTCAGGTTAGTATTTTAGGCTTATTGAATCTACATCATAATAAAGCTTTGTGTTCTAAAATTAGTTGAACTCTGCATATCCCAAAAATAACTTCCAATTGTGACAGCCGCACATGATCAACAATGCTGATGTATCTAGTTTATATTAAAATTATTTTAAGTATGAAAAAAAAACCCCAAGCCAACAAAACTACTCTGTTTTCTGAACTAAGTCTAAGACCTCTAACCTGATCATACATTTAACAACATGAAAATACAGCCGTGTCATCGAGATCAGTACCAAGTCCACCCTTGGCTGCGGTCATGGCTCACATGCAGCCTGCCATAAGGGACACTGAACAGACACACAGAAGTGCAAACCATCCTGACCACAGTAGGAGCCTCTCTAAAACAATGCATTACTTGAAGTAAGTTCAAGTAATATCCAACATCACACTACTTAATTTGTATTGTTACTTCTTTGCCTTAATGGGGATAGAAGCATGGAGAAGAGGTGGAAAAGACAGATTTTCACCTAAAGGAATGACTCTTCCCCCTCACCCCCTAAGTTGTTTATTTCTGACACAGTGGTTTCTCAGTCTGCATACACATAGCAGCTCTTTAATTCTCTGGATCTTCTGTAAAGTTTTGGCTTTTCTGATGGTTGGAACTAGATGATCTTAAGGTCCTTTCCAACCCTAACTATTCTATGATTCTATGTATCCGAACAGATAAGGACTTCCATTCAGAAATGAAGACAACTAGACACATCTGAGAATGTGCTGTGGGCACACACCAACTTTGAAAACTGGGCTATTACTATCCCAGTGTCTGACTACAGAAGGACAAGACAAATCATTTTACTCAGCATTCATTTGCCTATTGCATTTGCATAGTTATTGTATGATCAGGAGAAATTGCTTGAAATTATTGAAGAACAGCATACACACATCCATTTTTAAATGAGTTTTGTCCAATGCTGTCTGCATTTTTATGGTTTTGGTTAGATTTCAGTTTGTTATTGGGGTCTTTACATAATACAATCTCATTTTGTGTATCAACTCAGTGGGAATAGCCAAGTTACTACTGCAGTGACAGCCTTAATCTGGCAGCTGAGCAGCTTCACAGACCCCCTAAACCCTGACAACGCAGCACAGGGACTGGCTGCTTCCTTCCAAGTTCTTATCTCCACATTTTAATTTTTATTTTCAGAATTTGTCTAAAGCAGGTTGCATTTTCCAGCTGTTTTCAATAAATCTCTCCCTCCTCATTGCACTGGTCTATGATCTCTCCCCATTCATGGCAACTTTTCATATCTCACTGTTCTCATTGAGTACCAATTTGCAGTAAATACTCAAAAGCTATGTTACCACATATCATTTCTTCCATGAAAGTTCATGCAATCTATATAGTATTGAATTAAATTTCTAGCAAAAAATGATTCCTTATTCCTTGTATTTAGAGTCAATACTGGGGAATCACAGAACTGTTTGGGTTGGAAGGGACCTTAAAGCTCATCTGGTGCCATCAGCAAGGACACCTTCCACTGGACCAGGTTGCTCCAAGCCCTGTGCAAACTGGCCTTGAATACTGCAAGGGATGGGGCAGCCACAGCTTCTCTGGGCACCCTGTGCCAGGGCCTCACCACCCTCACAGGGAAGAATTTCTTCCTAATGTCTCATCTAAATCTCCCTCTGTCAGGTTAAAGCCATTCCCCCTTGTCCTGTCCCTACAGGCCCTTGTCAAAAGCCCCTCTGCAGATTTCTTATTGGCCCCTTTAGGCACTGGAAGCTGCTCTAAGGTGTCCTCGAAGCCTTCTCCAGACTGAACAAGTCCAGCTCTCTCAGCCTGTCTCCAGAGCAGACGTGCTCCAGCCCCTAGAATATGTTTGTGGCCTCCTCTGGACTCAGCCTGTATTACTAGAGTCCAGCTTCACTGGTGCTATAGTGCAAAATCCTAGAAAGGGCCAGAAAAATAAAATCAACAACAGAAAAAAAACATCTTTGAACAAGTCATGGCAATGCACAGAGCTGATTGAAGTTTTCTGATGGATTCAGAGGGCTTTAGGATCAAGACCTCTGAAGAGAAACAGATTTTCAGCTTTGCACTATACCCACTCCCTAGGATAGAAAAATAATTTTTATTGAAAAATGGAGCAATATTTACCACCACCACTTAAAGATAAAAGAGATAAAAACCACCAGATTCACTTGAACTCAGTCTCTTCACTGTAATATCACTACCAGAAATCCCACCGAGATATTGTGATCCCAACCAACACAGTAAAATATTTCTGAATTATGATATTAGGTGGGGACATTTGTAATTTTTCAGTCCTTTAGGAAAAGTATTTGATGTGCCTGAAAAGCTGGATATAAAAGTCCCCAAGCCATTATTTAGCCAGATTTTCCAGAAAGGAAATGAATTCTTCTCTCAAGCATGGCAAATCTGGAGCACCAAAAGGCAAGGAAGTGCCAGGGAGCCTCCATCCCCCTCAGCTAGAACCAGCTGCAAAGGGACCAAGTGCACTAATTTATATCTGTAAGGAAAAGGGGTGTTTTCTGGGTTTCCTTTTCGCCCTGAAGAATGGCCTTAAGCGGGCTGTCATTTATACCAGTATTTCGCTGATAACACCAAACTGTGCTGTCTTTGTTCTGGAAACCCAAAAATGATTTTATTCTGTGTTCTGCTGACACTCAGGAACTAGATTAAATGACACATTGAAACAAGGGTTAGTCTGGCTTTATTACTGCTCTGTGTATCTGCGTGTATCTATGCACACAGCAGAGCAAATTAAAGTAAAACTGCCTAAGGCATTCTGGGTTTCAAGATTTTAAAATGACCAGCTTCTGAGTCTTTCTCTACCAGCGTTATTGTTACATCAAAACTACACTGCTTCCAGAATATTATTCAATAACATTGCATTTACAAGCTGACCTTCTCTTCCTTTTTCTCTCTTTATGCCTATGGTTGCCTTTCTCTTTCTCCACAGCCTGCAGTATCCCTCCAAGGAGCAAAGCAAAGCAGTTCTGTATTGCTCAGGAAAATGAATCCACCTCCTGACTCCCAGCTGCAATACGAAACAGTCTGTGCTGAACCTCACACACAGAAAATCTCTCCAAGCAATGAGAGGAAAAACAATAATGCCCAATAAAGATATTCCCACTAAAGCGACAATTAGAAGCACCCATTATGGACAGCTGTCTAACAAGACAGAAAATAGTGCTGCTGAAGAAGAATTAGAGTGGAGAATAAAATGGCTGTGGAATACTAGGATTTCTGAGCTGGGTTGTGTTCTCAAATGTGACACTGAAATCTGTTTTATTTTCCTCAGAAGGATGCCTTCACCACCTTGCTTTTACAACACCATGGTTTTTATACCACGGATTTTGTACTGATCATTTCCAAGCTTATTCCTTTTCTTTATGGCACCATAAGTTCCCTCCAATTCCACACACCTCAGCCTGGGGCTGCTCAGCCTGAAGCCCGCTTTCCAGAGGCTATTCACCTTTCTGGACACCAGTACAGTTTAATCTACACAGCAGGTCCTGTTTCTTTCTTTCATTTGTTAGGCTGATTATGTTTTACTGCCCTACCTTCTCAGCAGCCACTTAAGGTTATGTATGCTCCCAAAAAATAAAAG